ATGAAGGAAGGTTTCCGAAGATGCAAAGTTATTCATCCCAAACTTGTCTTTATTCCAAGCAACATTCTGAATCGCAGTGTACTGCGATTCAGAATGTTGCTATGGCACCTAGCAACTCTTTTCAAGTTGCAGCAGCTGTTGCAGCAACAGCAAGCCAGCCGAAGTTGGCTGTTGCTGCAACAGCCACTACCACGTCATTCCGACGACGGAGCAACCCATGCAGAGGCAACTTCTGCAACAAGAATGCAGTTGTTGCAACACCGTGCAACTTTTGCATCACCATTGCAACCGCTCATCCCAAAGCAACTTCATCGTAAGTGAAACTCCTGCAACAGTAGGGCTTCGCACTACCGATGCAGCTGTTGCACTAACTTGCAATACCAATGCAGCTCTTGCACCACCGTTGCAGCTCTGGCAACGCCAGTGCAACTGCTTTCCCAATATTCGCAACACCAACAGAATTCTTGCAGCAGTGTTTTGAACTACGGATACAACTCTCGCATAACTTGCAACACCAATACAACTCTTCCATCACAGTATTGCACAGCCAATGCAACTTTTGCACACCGATGGAACTTTTGCAATACCAGTCTTCGCATCACCGATTCAGCACTTCTCCTCCGCCAGCTTCCCTCTCTTCCTCGCGCCTTCCGGAAAAATATTTTCAGATGCATTTGCTCATGCTCAAAGGCATCTCCACATTACTTGGACCAATGTCCTCTCCCGTTATTTTTTTCAGCTCCATAAAGTTCTTCTTCATTCTGTTAGGAATCCTTGCAATCCCTCCCCCAAATGACCGCAGAAGCGACGATGTCGAGAGGTGACGGCTACGTAGACGGATTTACAGAGCGGAATTGATTTCGCGGTCGCTCATTTACATGAGAATAAACAGTACGCTCATGGTGCCAGCCTAGGACAATAACACACCTCTCACGCGCATAGCGCTTAAGAACACGTTGACGACGAGAGATCGAGACGGTGTGATCACAAATATGGATGATGAGCTCATGTGCACATATTTTGCTTCAGCTAGGGTCAATGAGTCAGATGGAACGCACCTCATCATCGCGACTTAGCAGCTCTCGGATGATTTTCTGCGGTGGCCCGCCGGGTTGTTCCAGTACCGGTTTCGATGGATCCACCTCGCCGGCGCTGACCAGATCTGCGATTTTGCTCATTCGCGACTGATGGGCAACTGATCTGTAAGGATAATAGTCATTAGTACACGGGAGGATTATAATCATGTCTATCTTTTTTAATCTGTGTAAGTAGTGATATGAGCGGAACTTCCAGATGAATTATAAGTTAACTGCATCTCACTCCTGTCGAAGTTTGAGTGTAATTTACCCAATGGCGATAATTCTGCGCCCAGTTGACTGTCCAAACTACTCATTAAGGATGTTATTCCAGTATGACCTCGATCTGGGATTAGTAGTTGCGGAATGGAAAGCGGATTTGAAAATCAAATGACACTTTATTGATTTACCCCCGGAATCTATTCAAGCCAAAGGGGCAATGAAAAGTATTGAATCCAGAAAAGAGAGATTACAAAACACATGTTAACCTTCAGAGAAGCAGGAAATGAAAAGCAGGAATATGAAAAACAACAAACCGGTTTTCAAAAATGACGTTATGAAACTTTTTTCGAATTTTTGCACAAAACTGGTTTCCCGTAGCACAAACTATGCGCTTAGTTCACAGGAAGAATTGCAACCAAAATGCCCACGGATTCGCACTCATGAATTAGTGTGCGAACGTAATAATCAAAGAGTTACATGACCACAACACTATAGCAATTATAATGTTTTTGTGTTGCTGAAAAACCTAATTCATAAATAAAGCAGGATGAGCGTATAAAAAACAGTTGTATTACAAACAAGAAAAACACGATCAGGAGCTATCATATTGGGAAATTAGAAAAAGAAAAGCAACGTGGTTTGGTAGCTATATAAAAACAATGGTACTATTAGTAGTACCATGTTACAACTGTTAATCAATAGAGAATATGTGGGATTTTGGTATGGGGATTTTAAATCGA